ACGAATAGTGGGATTGACCGTCACATTATAATGCCCCACGGCTGAAAAGGCGAGCATGTTTGGTGTGACGGGGATTCGAACCCGCGACCCACAGATTGCGAGTCGAGCACCCTAACCACCTGGCCATTATGTTTTGAACATGATATTCTTGTATTAATGATCGGTGGTCCACTGGAAGGAAACACGTGCAACAAAAGTAGAAATAGGTTATCACGACCGTTGAACAATAGAAAGAATAACACATAGTGGATAAACAAATCAAACTAGATTGTTCAACATAATTTAAGCATACTGTAGATCGCATTATTTGTTTTACTTCAATTTTGTTTATTTTCTTACAATGGAAAATTATTTAAAACTATCGAACTAACGTGTTTATGTTATCATATATATAGAAGGGAGCAGTTCGTTTGAAATAGGTTACATTTTCAATTAAAAGAAGGATCGTGTTTATAATTTATGACTTTTCGAAAATTGTTAGTTATCCTATATACTACTGCTATGCTGTTGTTTTTGATCGAGTTTAAAACATCGTTTTTAAGATTAAAAAGTAACATGTTAAACTTTGTGGTAAGAGATCAAAACAAATAAAGTAGTAACGGTTGGGTAACAAACATTAAAAAATTTAAGTGATTTGTTGAAGTAGTAAATTCCACTGTATCACACATTAGTATAGTAATAGTAAACAACAATTTATAATAATAATTAAAACTACTTATAAAGAGAACATACTATACGTTTTAACAGAATATTATGTCTTCTGAATATGACCCGTTGAAGCATCAAAACATGTAGTGTATTTGAGACAGTTCACAGTCTCAAATAAAATTATTTTTATTGTGTAAACCGAAAAAGAAGTTTATTGTTTTTAGTTTTATTTATCCTCGATTAAACCTAAGTGTCTGATAAGAATCTTATTAATCCTAGATTAGTATAATACTTTGTATATATCGTACACACATTACAAAAAAGAGATTTGTGATACTGTCTGTCACTAAGAACCAGGTCAGGATTACTTTGTATAATCAAGACATCTGTATTTTAGCGTTGCTTAATAATCACAAAATAAGCTAGCAGTTTGAATGTATATCCAACTTATTTTCAATGAATGACGCAAACATTAAAATCTATGAAAATTGTTGTATTTGTTTAATATACCATTCATGAATCAAACATATCTTTCATGTTTTTGAAGTAGAGTTTGGATGTGAAGACGACACATTTGTTTATATTGTCATGTTTCAACTCTGCTTCAAAGGACAACATATATTTACCGAACCTATTACCTAGTTTCATTAAATTATTTGTCACCGTTTTGTAATTGCCGACGGACAACTTTATTATTCTAAATGTGGACTGGAACTATTTCAGATATACTTGTTGTAACGAGAATAGTACTGAAACGACTTCTAAAGAACGTTTAAAAAGAAAGTTCATGATACTTTATTTTATTACCAAAAGAGTTGTCTTTTTTCTTGTTCTTACTATCATTCATGAAGCTAAGGGCACATATTTTGACTTTAACAAAACAAGAAAAATCCTGTTTTCCTTCTTTCTTTCATATTTTCTGATACCTACTTTCACTACATGTCTGAGATTGAATGAACAAATAAGAAAATATGAACACTGTTACTAGAACAAACAGACATAGCAATTATAGTTTTAATGAAAAAATAACTTTAGTGGATAGAGTTAAAACATTTTAGACACATAAGACCAAAAATAAAAATTCTAAGACGAAAGACAATATACTAATATAAAGTAGAATAAAAAATGGTTTCAGAAAATGTGCAAACCCACAGGTAAGTGCTTAACCTTTTAAATAATTTAATCAAACCCCTCTCATAAACGTGAACATATGTCAAAGCATGGTCATTTGTTTGGACATGACAACATTGAAATTATCAATAGAGAAAAAATATAAACCGCCACAAAATTATGGAAGCCTTAATAATTGAATAGTGTCAAAATAATAGGCTTATTTTTCTTAATATTATATACAGAAGTAGTATTTAGTAAGTATCTTGAATAATATGGGTGTTGTGCTAAGCATTCTAGTTCACGAGGTGTCTGTGACTTGTTGGCGATAAATTCAAAATAAATGAACAGCATGCACTCCAATTGTTTTCAAAATAATATATATATAGGTTCGAACTAGTTAAATGTATGTAAAACAAATTCTTTACACTAGAGATATTATAGGCATATCATAAACACTATATATAGATCTCTTCTTCTTGTCAAAAGTCAACTTAAGCCTATTCAATTGCTTTAGAATTTCAGTTGACAAACTGAACTACTTTTTTCTATTTCTATCACACTAGTATTCAGTGTATAATTCACTTACAATTATAGCATGAGTTATCACAGTCATATACGGCTCTTCCAGTAACCGTTTGGTCCTTGTACTTTAGGTATTGTCTGTTCCTTTTTGTCAAAGTGCATTCAGGCTGTTTCAATTATATTAGAATTTGCTTTGACAGACTAAACTATACTTCTTATCTCTTTTAAAACTGTTAGTTTTACTCTAACATATTAATCGTTAAGCCTTTCACTCCTACGACAGTTAACTTTACATTAAACTTTTCTTTGGCCAAACTTCTTCTTCCCGTGACTTTACTTTCTTGTCTGCTCTGTCAGTCTACTGTTCCAACTCGTCTCACACTATTTATATATTTGTCACTTAATTGTCTGCTCACCTTCTAGAAATCTCTATATCCTTGACATCAATAAATTTCACACAATAGCCTCAACATCAATTAATTATAAACACAATGTAAGACAATTCTTACCAAGTTAGGTAACTAAACTTATCATAACACTTACTTTAAAATAATTGCTTTTAATTCTCTTGTTACGAAAAAAACTAAACAATCATGAAATATTCACTCACAAGATAAATAAATTAATAATACCTACACTAAACAGTCATGACAAAAAGTTTGAACCAAAAATTACTAATAAATTCTCGTGTTCATTTTTATCTTCTCTAAACTCTGTTTCTTCTATTATTCTGAAGCTGATCTTGTAACATAAAACAATCAGAGTATCAGAATATCTTACCCTAATGAAAATAAACACGAATCAGAATTATATTTTGCATGTATATGTTACACCACAAGATATTTGAAATTGTCATAATGTAGGTTACAATATAGCATAATGATTAGGGACAACAAGGGATCTATTGGTCCATCTAGGCTGTCCTATCTTCTAAATTAAACTAAAATTATTAAATAACCTCAAAGCCTCTTATTCATATAGTTATCAAGCTTTCTCTTAAACTCATTTAAATTTACTGACTCCACAACATCCAAAGGCAACCCACTTCAAAGGCCAACAACCCTGTTAGAAAAATAAAACAGTTTTAAATGAGATGATTCCTATCCTGGCAAAATTTATATTTGTGTTCAGTAGTCCTACCATTCTCACCATTAAGTAAAAAAAAAAAAGATGATGCATCAACACTATCAATTCCCTTAACAATCTTGAACACCTCTATCAGATCCCCTCTAGCTCTTCTTCTTTTGAGGGAAAACAATTTCAAGATCATAAACTCTACTTGTATGACAACATCTCCACCCCAGGCAACAATCCAGTAGCCTGCCTCTTCCAACAATTCAGTGTCCTTCCTATAATAAGGAGCCCAAGATTGTACATAATACTCCAAATGTAGCACAACCAGTGACCTATACAATGAAACTGTAGCCTCTTTACACTTGTATTCAATATTTTTGAAGAAACAATTTAAAGTCCTATTTGCCCTACCACTATTCTTTCAACATTGTTTTAAATCACTGCCTATTTCATTTTTATTGAAGTTGTCACACTAAAACTTACTGTTTGTTACAGATGTGTGGACAAGTTAACTTTGTGTAATTTAGCTACAAAATCAAGTTCACTTAACGAATATGAAATCAAGGGATGAAATGTTAGCAGCAAGAATAAAACCTAATGTTTTTAGTGAATGTTTTAGTTTCAAAGTAAATAAATAGTTTTTATGGATAATATATTGGTAGTTTCAAACCATCTTACTAAAAACAGTTTTGGCATCATTTAAGTGATTTCATGAGTCCCACTTGCTAATTTGTATGAATGGTAAGCCTTAATAATGAAAGTCAATGTAAATTCAAAATACATTTTATCTTTCAACAATTTATACACAACATCTTCAGTGTAGGTATCACTTACAAAATTACAATGCCCAGGGGAAATAATGAATGGTTAAAAGCAGAGTTTTCTTTAGTTTCACTACAAACCCGAGTTCCTTACAACAAAGTTCTTTCATTTTTTACAACGAAAAAAAAAAACAGGTCTAAAAGATGCCTTCTTTTTATGCATGATATTTTGCTTTATCACTTCTCTCCTAACCATACTATCTGGGTTTAAAGCTTATGCAGAAAATCTCAATCTTTATCTTAAATTAATGGTTAATTTGATACTATATAACTTATGATTTACATTACAGATTTTATTTTTATAGTTGTATTTAAATATTTACATATTTCATATTTAAATAGAATATATATATAAAATGCCTATGTGTATGTCAATATATATATGTCTTATATCATTTAATGATCAGTTATAATTCTTTCATTTGTATCATAAGAAACAAGTTTACAGACATATATTACAAATGTAATAATTTCTTAGATCAGACACATAAACAGCATTGTTGTATTTTTAAACTTAACACACACAAGGTGAATGGGTAGTATGAAACACTTTTTAATACTAAATCACTTCTACACGTATTCAAAATTAAAGTATTGTAACAAAATCCATTTTGTATGTACATTGATAAAATATAATCATAGATGAAATATTACAAATCAGGGTAAAAGTCAGTCTGTACATAATTATTAAATTATTAAGTTGTCACAAAGATAATAAAATTTACACAAATGTTTTTTAAATCTCAAGCCTTACTTTTAATTTCTTAAACTCTGCTTGGAATTGCTCTGAGTAATATACTACTTGAGAAACATGAAACTCACTACTGTGCGTAAACATTCACTGGGTCATTCTACCTAAAGAGTGCTATGCCCAAATATCTATCAAGTTCGGAAGATTACCATGGTTACAAGTCCTGTAAATAAAAATAAAATACCATAAAAATTACTTTATCATAATTTAGTTTTTGAATAAAGTTTTCTGAATTAAAACATTTACTACATATTACAATAATGTTCTAAGTATTGAGTTCTTTGACAGAACAAATTTAACACTATAGTTTTTTGAAAGACATGACTTATTCAATCAGCTAAACTACAATAACACTAAAAACCATCATACCAAACCTAACATGTAGTTTCTATAATAACCAGTAGAAGTAATTAGTCAGAGTTAATTATTAACTCAATAACAATGATACAAAAGTCATACAACTCACCCTCAGTCATACCTCTAGTTTAATTTTGCTAATAACCATTGGATGTATTTAATCTCTTAATTAATATTCAGTCTCAAACATAACAATTGCATGTCATCATACAGCTAACTTATAATATTTTAGTCATAATCATCTATTTTGTAGTCTTACACAAAACTAATTAGATACACAGCACAGTCAATTCAAAGCTATTTAAATTAATTATATCATGCCAGATGAAAAATTAAATAGAATTTTGTGAAGTAATGTTTAATTACTACTAATCATTCATAAAAAAGGTCCTGTGATAAAGCTTTGTTAACAAGTATGATCATGGTAGTATATTACTAGAGTGTATTATAATCAGTGAAAACCAATAAAAAATTTCAATGAACTGAATTAATGAGTAATGTTTCCTTATAATTTATTTTTTGTTATTTTTAAACATTTCTATTTTTCAAATAGAAAAAAAAGATACTATACTTTCTGTGAAATTTCTCAACTTTTCATTTCTGTGAAAAGACTGCTTATGATCTCAAAATCAGTTTGGAAGTTATACTTTTCCTATACTGAAAATGTATTTATGATAAGAACTTCCCTCCACTCACAAGATTAGCTATTCTCATCCAGTGCTGCTCTCAATATGCAATTTTTTCTTTATGCATGCCACAAGCTTTCTGCTTCCCCCTTTGGAATCGAATGATTCTAACGTAAATCATCATTCATAATTTCTCCACCAATAGAAGCATGACATATATGATGCATGTGACTTCCTCTATATGCCTCTACCAAACCATCACTTTGATGTTTGGCAGAAGGAAAGTAGGGAGGAAGGTTGGGAAGTGTGAGTGGAGGGACATACCTATCAGAAATACATTTTCAGTATAGGAAAATTATAACTTCCAATACAGTACTTCCATCCATTCACATGATTAGCTAGAATCCCCCATTGATTAGGAGGCAGGACCAGTGCGAGGCAATGACAGATATATATCCCCGAGAGCATCTGAAGGATGCCCCTGGAAATGAGAATCAGATCTGATGAGGGGAACCACACCATTTCTGAAACAGGTATACTCATTGTCCATCCATGAAATGCTATGTAGATAAGGGAAGAAAAAAGGAAGAAGCACATCCAAGTGGGAGAGAACTGAGGCAGGATAGTGATCTCAACACTTAAATATATATGTAACTCAATCTCACAAAGTATAAAAGTGGGTAAAACAATGGATGTGTCCCTAGGTGTAGAGTGGCTAGGGTTTGACAGACCATACTCGGTAAGTCAACTACGTCGAAAACCCATGCTGCTGGGAACCAACATCCACATGGGGGTAGGATGAGGATCATACCATCTTCACTTCTAGTTCAAGAGACTGGGGGGAATCCAGAACCACTCTGATTCCTGAGCATTAAACATGTTAACTTTGATCTATCGATCCGGGGACCCAACATCCAGTATGAAAAGGATGTCTATATAACACCAATCAACTCCCCCAACAGCAAAACTGACTGGAGCCATCCAAAAAGCAATAACATCCTCTGAATAAGATATAAAGAGGGATAGCAAAAAGGACAGAAGGGAACAATTCTCTTTACCTCCATTGTGACCCATAACACAGAAGAAGTATGATTGAGGGAGGAAAAAAACAACAACATAAACATGTGTGAGGACTTATGTTGATTGGTTCTACTCTAAATCCAAAACCCGGCCACTGGGAACCGACATCAATAAGGGGGTAGGATGAGGATCCCAAACGAAGGGGTGAACACAATTTTGATGTCTCACTCCCATTTATTTTTATGTTTCATATTGGAGGATATCACGTCATCTACATCAGCAGAATACCACTGCCCTACTCTCAACTGAATGGTTTTATAATCATTTCTATATCTTGTTTGTATTTCATTATCCCATTCAGGAGGATGCCTCCACGGTCCATCACCGCAGGGGGTAAAATGCAGTGGAGAGTCTGGAGGAATGACAACACCTGAGAAAGAAATGGGTGACCATGAAACAGCATTTTTAAAAGCAGACCATAAAGATTTATTCAATACAAGGCATGGCAGGAATGGGCAGCTATCCCCTTTTGCTTTACCAATGTACTCCATGGGTGGGTACAGTCTAGGACGGGCAAACTTGTGAAGCAATTCTATCATGAGGATAATCCTACAAGCGATCTTGTGGAACACCCCATCTCTGTAGTGTGCATTGCATGGCCATGGAATTATAATATGCAAGTTGACATGGTTTGACAGTGCGGATTTGAACATTTAAAGAATATCTGGTCAGGCACCACTCACCACAGAGTGGTATCCAAATAATGAACACTAATAAAAGGGAAAAGATCCCCTAAAAAGTAAAAATAAAAAAAAAACTTACCCAGTCAAAGTCTCACTGAATTCTGATATTCTAGAAAGGCTACAGGAGGAAGGCAATAACTTGAAGAGAAAGAAAACTGTGATCTGATGCAAGTAGTAAGAGATGAATGTATCATGGGTAGTCCACATGCCTGATTGAAGGATGGCGAAGATGAAACGGCAATGAAAAGGAAAAGCGTCGAAATGAGTGAAAAGACTCTTGGAACAAAGTAGGGGAGGAAGATGATAAAGAGGAAGAAGCCAATCAACTGAAGAGCAGAACCCAATTGGCAAAGAAGAAGGAGAAAGAATAAGAACAGAGGACAGTTGTCAATGGAGAAAGAGGGAAGGAATGGACACCACAGAAGGAAGCTGTGCTAGCAATATAACAGAGAAAAGCACATACAGGACATAGATGTCTATCAAGAACAGAACGAGGATAAGGGTGTGACACAAAAGGAAGGGAAAGCAGTTAACCGGAGGAGTTATCCTCATGAGCTGCCAAAGTGTTAGGGAGGAAAAATGATCCAGAGAAAGGAGAAGACATGTTGAAGGATAAAGAGTATGTGAAACACTAATGGCAAATAAACAGACCACTGATGGCCACAGACAAATAAAAGAAGGAAGGAAGGGAGACATAAGGGTAGGTGAAACAAGGAGCACTGGGAGAGTGGTTTGAAAATAGGCAAAGTGAGGCAGTGCAGGACCACATTAATAGCCCCATCCAAAAGGGCAGCCTTCTGTGAAAAACGACAAATCTGGAAGGAACATATCTACAGGTAAAGTGTAGGAGAGGTAAATACTTGCAGGATGGGGAAATATGAAAGGTGTGGGACAGAACTGCCTGAAAATCTGAGACCAAGGAGACAGAAGATCCCCAATCCAAAAGTCAAGATAGGAAATCTGCATGACGAAGAACAGTGGATTGATCAGGAGAAAACTCTGGACCCAGAAACCAATAATGGTAAATTTCTATTCTCATTGAGAAACTTCCATGTAGGAAGGGCAAATAAAACAAGCCAGAAAAGATGCTAACTGTCAGGAGCTGCCAGATCACCTAGCCAATGACCAGAAGAAAACCAGGTGTGAAGACAGAGGACAGGAAGATCTGGATGAAACATTGGTGACTGAGGGTGGCAAAGAAGGGATGGAGACAGAGGAAGAATAATGGAGGAGGAAGTTGGAGCTGGAATAGGCACAGAAACCATGGTTGAGATGGCAGGAAAGAGCTGAAAACACTGATAGCCAGAGCAAGAAGATGAGGAACTAGAGATCAAAACCAAGGCAATTTGTGGTTAAGGGACATAGGAAAAGCCTCAATGTGAGGAGTACCCTACTGAAATCAAACCCCTAGAAAACATAAGGATTGAGAGATCACTCCATCAGATAAATGTTGTCTGGACAGGAATACAATCCATGACAAGAGTGAAAGTACCCAGAACATGACATGCAGTGATTGGAATAACAAACGTGGGCCTCAAAAGAAGATCCAACATATGAATAGAGAGGGATGGAGAACTGGTGCCACCTTAGTAATTGAGATAAACAGCTATCAAAGAAAAGTCACATTACCAGACTGGGAAATTACTTAAATTAAAAAATTTCTTCAATGTAAAGAAAAAATAATAATGACAAATTCCCACTTTGGAAATTACACGAACAGTATCAAAAGAAAAAATGTCTGAATATTAGTACTGCCAAACGAGAAGTGATAGTTCAGTAGAGTGCATCATGAGAGTATGTCGCACTCTTATTGGTGAAGGGTTGACACATGATGATTTGCATGAGAGATGCATTGGAATCAGTCATTTCCAATGGTAGAGAGATAGAAGATGTGTACTTTTTTCATATAGAGGGCAGCACTGAACGAGAATAGCTATTAATGTGAGAAGAGGTAATGTACCATATTCAAATTGAATTTATCTAGAGTCTGAAGGCTGTCATTTAATTTCTTGGCATTCTCTTCTTTTGTTTTTGCTGCTCCTGATTTATAAATTCTTACCCTAGGTCTAAAATCTCTCCTGCTTATTTCTTTTTTTTTATTTAATTCACTGGTTGATTGATTGAGGTTTCAATATCCAAATATTACCAGATGTGCTGTATTGCCAATATGCTTTCAGGATGCTTTAATATACCCAGATAGCATGCAAAGGTATGTTAAACATCGTCATTTGGTTAGAACTGTCATGATTAGAGTACAAATGTTTATTCAACATTTTCATTTGGTTGGTTTAAATGTCATTTAAGTGCAAATGATGCATGCATAGTCAGAGTACTGTGAAAACGTTTTTTGAACACTTATTTGGTTCACACCACACAAATATAAAATTGTATAAAAACTAGCTGTTTAAAACTTTTGAAAACTAATTATCTATTGAAAATACAATTTGTTAATTTCTATTCACTTTTCTTCTGTTATAGTTGTTTTTAGGGCTAATAAAGATTTTTTTTTATCCTTGTTAACATTAATGGCAAATGAAAGCATATTATAGTATCAATGTGATCTTGTCCTGGCCTTTTCTTTGCATATGCCATTCTGCCATATTGCTTGAATACAATTAAAATACAGGGTTTGTATAGTTCTTTAACATTTCAAACTTCCTGTTGTAGTTATTTCATGGTTATTTGGTAACCCTGCCTGGCAAGGTACAACAAGTGTGTTGAATATAATTCTACTTTTATATGTAGCTTATTAAAGTAAAAAAAAGAAAAAGTCATTGCTTTAATTATACCAATGAACTTGACTCTAAAATGGGCTGTTTGATTTTTTTGGGCCCCCAGCAATTGCAGGGGTTGCAGAGCCCCTCCAGCCAGCCCTGCTTAGAGTTACAATAATATCCAATAAAACAGTTATCAAGGAGATGTAGTCACACAAATGAACAACAGTTTTAATCATAACCTTTAGACATTCACAAATAATAGTCATAAAGTGTAGTCTTCTGAGACATTTTAGCTATATTATCATCACAATTGTTCAAAGCATATTTTATAGTGATTGGAAGTCTACACAAAGTAAGCCTTTCAACAGAATAGTAAAGATTGTTTAAGAATTTGGATGATCTTGTAAATTTAGTGGTCTATTGTTTTAATTTACAGGAATTATTACGTTTTTTGGCAAATTTTGTGTACTTGTTTTCTAAGACATAACTTTAATATGCTAAATACCTATGTAGAAATCAAGTATCTGTTTTTCACATCAAAAAAGTGTACCTTATCTGAAGACAGAGTTTTGGAAATAATATAAACATCAGTGTAAAATAACTGATCTATTTATATTTCAATCAACCATTAAGTTTTATTTTTAACAAGTCTGCAAGTGATTAATCCATCACATAATAACTCAGTTGAAATCTCAACACTGATCATAGTACAACAACATAATCTACTGAAAGATTTGGTCTGGTACAGTCTTCTTATGGCATATTATATTTTCTCCTGATCAATACATACTGACCTAACGTGTAGGCAGCTATCAGTTTCTGGTGCATACTGAGATGAAAATAGATTGGAAGGTGTCCCTCTGGATCTCCTTGGGTTGGCAACATTAATGCCATTATACACAGAACAGCAGCTAAAATCACAATCACATTTGGCCTAGCATTACTTCTTTCTGAAAGACCAAAACATACACAGACATTATTGTAGATCGTACAATCCAGCTACTGTACTTTTATTGATAAGTCTAACATGTTGTATTTAAAAATATAAATTAAACAATCTATTTGATTCACAGGTAAGTTTCACACTTGAATATACTTATGAATCCAAACCTTGAACTCAATGGTAAGTTTTGTTATATGTCTCTTTTGCTTTTACATCTTTGCTTCTGTTTTTATATATACATTAGTGCACAACAGCTGAACATGTGCTACCCCAGAGACTATTGTTGCTGTACATGTGAGATAGTCACAAAATTTGTAAGCATATTTCTATACTCACTTTTTGTAAATGGCAAACTGAGAAATCCTAATTCTTTCCTAGGTTTAATGGTACACTACACACAAAATAAATATTGTTCAAACCGTTAATTCATTATTCTTTACTCAGTTAATATAAAAACTGTAATAAAATGATAAACTGAAGTGCTTGTAGTGAACACTATGAAGTCCTTGTAGAAATGGTTCCTTCAAGCAAGTAAAAAAATCTTTTAAATTAAGAAGTCTCAACTCTCAATATATAACAAGCCTTATAGAGCTAAGTATATAATATTGAAAACAAATAGTTAAAGTGTTTAACATAAATTAAACTATCTTTTCAAGGTTTTATGAATTAATTAAAAGTTTATTTATGGACTTTATAAAATTTGTGTTCAAAGAATTTTAAATTACAAGCTTAACAAAAGTTTATCATTATCCATGTTCACATTAAAACAACAACTCAGCATTACATGAATCATATAAAATCATGTATGTGTCTAATATCACTAAACATACTGTTACGTCTCGGTTCATTAGTTAATTTTCCGTAAATTCGTTCCGACGAAACTTTAGCGACACAAGTCCTTTCTTAAATAAAACTGGTTTATTCTTTCCGAATACAACTTTACGATACACTTAATTTCAACAGTCATTCTATAACAACGCTATAACTCACGTCTCACGTGGCCAATAATATTCTGTCCACATACATTCAATTACTTATTACCTCTCCGTCGCTTCGTGGCCGGTCTTATATATACAAGACTACACTATATCTAGAAGGATCACGAGATTTAAGGAAAAGACGTGAAAGTTTGAGAATGACGTGGCGTGATACTAGTCACGTGACCTCGATGTCATAACAATACTATTATATGAGTGTACATGTTCTAATTTTACTCACTCAATGTATTATGACTATTAATGTTTTCTTTGTCAAATTTGGGACAGGCTTTGTCTAGTTGTTAGCATGCAAGACTGTTAATCTGAGAATTCATGGTGCACATCACTTTACCAAATAAAGAAAAATATGCATACACAACTTGGGTCTATGGGTGCATTATAAGAGTGATGGTCAAACCCCACTGTTGAACTGTAGTACTTCAAGAGATGGCAGTAAGTGTCATGGATTAGCTTTCCACTAATCTATCAGTTCAAAAGTAGAAGTGGTTAGCATATATAGCTCTTTAAGGCTGTGTTCGAAGGTTCATTATCTAGCTAGAAATCCAAAGACAGTTATAAGCATTTAAAGGTTTGTCAGGTGGCATTCAAGTAATTCAAGTAGTGTCAGATTTTTATTTTTTTTTCTCTTCTTAACAGAAACAAGTTGACAATGTATTAATAGTAATCAAATATAAATGCCACTCATATGGAAAATTTAATTTTTTTAATTTGTGTAGGGCTCATTAATTAAAATAAAGTTGTTGCATTTAAAAAAGCACATACAACCAAAATATTATACCATTATGGTGGAGCACAGGGAAATACATTTAGCCGCAGCATTGCTTCAGTAAAATGTACCGAGTGCCTAGTGCAAAAAATGTAAGAGAAGTGTTATGGTAGAATATGTATAAAAAATAAAATACACACTAACACTAATAATTTTAATGTTGAAAATGGAGCACTAGTGTAATTCTACACTTCTCTCTCTCCCTAAGGAGTTGGTTTTATTTTATTATGTATTAAGATATCAAAATACGATTGCTAGTCTCATACATTTTTAAAGCACATGTGAATGTTTACTTCTTTACATGGATTACGTGCAAAAAAAAATAAAAAGTTTTTAATGAAATATAACCTACTAGTTAAGGTGATGTCATTAGAAAATTAGTACTATCATACATTTGAACCTTTATTTGTTAATGTGTTCTGAATACTCAAAGGTCAAAAGCTATCCATCATTACACCACTATAGCCTTTATGTAGCTTTGTGAATTTCCAAAACAACCAATAATCAAATTCCATTAAAATTCTAGGCTAACTAGCCCAGTGCAAAAAACTCTTGGCTTTAATACAGATTACCAAGTACTATGAAATACTAAAAAAATTATGAAAATTCAGAGCAGGCATATAACTTCATAATACAATATATTAATTTACATTGTGTGTTTGTGAACTTATTTGTTTGTCCACGAACTCCTCCCACAGTTTTGGAGCTAGCAGGACCAAACTTGGCAAGCAGACTCAGGTGACCAAAGGTGTGTCCTTATCTATACAAGGTAATCCTGGGTAATCCAAATATGATGGGGTCTATAAGTAAGTTTATATGACTGCATTGGAAATTGTGTTGCTCACTCCCCTAAAGATCTTGGGAGCACCCTGTGTTCATACCCCACCCTCAACTCAAAAGCTAGTAGGACCAAACATGCCACATGTTCTTTTACTACAGGTGGGTTTCCTAATAGGGTATATTCTCAGGTCAGATCCCCCTTGGGGCAGCTATAGAAGTATTTGAGAATAATAGAGAAGCCTAACTGATACATTAGGTCTTCTGTGAATCAAGGAGGGGCATTTGAACAAAATAGCAGTGTGTGTATTTTATTCTACTTTCTAAATGAGTGAAAAAGATTAATCTAAAACCATAATACATTTAGAATATTAGTATCCTTGGTTGATATTTCAACTGAGGCAGACCAAAATTAAGTAATTTTTATAAATGAAATTTGAAGGAGTAATTTGTAAATTTATGTAATAAGTAGGGTTTAAAGAAGTGAAAGGAATATTAAGCACATTTATGAAGTATTATACATAAATTTTTCTACTGCCTTTAAATAATTTCAATTTTATTTGTAAACTAAACTCTTGTGTGTAAGTGTTTTGAAGTGATGTGTCTTTGAAATATATTCTAACATTATTTATTTATTTATCACACTTTCCTATTATTGTCATAACTAATTATACATAACACCAACTGTTCAATGAAGAAGAAAATTAAGAAGGTTTGTATAAGTGAATGAAATATTCTCAAATTTGTCCCAAAGCAACTCTACTGAAAAAGTTTCAACAAGTTAACTAATAATACATTTTACATTTGCGAAATATTTCTGTTTCAAGCAATTATCATATTTTTAACCTTTTTATACAATGCATATATGAACTATTATTTAATTTCTTCTATACAGACTAAAATAAAAATAGAAAGCAAATGTTGAAGCAGCAAATCTAATACCTTGTGCTTCGTTCATAGCATACTGCCTTTTATGAGCCTTTGGTACAGACTGCTTGGAAAGCCATTCAAATTGCTCTGAATCTGTACTGGAAGAAACACTAGTGACTGGTTTAGACAAAAGCAGTGTTGCTGGGATGTCTTTTTTTCCAAGAATTTGGCATTGTCCATGTTCATACACCTGAATCCGGAACTTTTCAGTGACACCATAGTTGCTCTGAGTGATATTATTGTGACGAATTACACTAAACAACACCAACATAAAAAAAAGGTAGGCACATAACATTAGTACTTAACATAGTAAGAATTCTAGTCACAATGTAACTCCTAATATTTACCTCAACAGTATAACAAGATCAAAAATTTATCCTCAGAAGTGCTTCTTGATTATCAATAATTACTCCGAATTTTATACTGCTATATACATAGAAAACTCATGAAAATTTGGTACATGCATTCCAAAAGACAAAACTTTCAATTTAACATTCTACAGAGTTATCTAAATAGTTGGCCTTTATGATTTATTCAAGATGAATATAAACAGTTCTGATTAATTATGAATTTAAGATTTACTTCACTTTCTTTACTTGTATCCAGTATCAATTTTATCTCTTATAATTCACGATTTGTCAAAATTTCTTTACTTGTACTCACATTTAATTTCAACTCATCTAGAATATTTTATCAATATTAATATTTTAGTATATATAAAGAAAAAGGTAATTCTTAACAAACTTCAATTCATTTTGCTTGTGCATAAGCATCTAAAAATCCTGTTATATTTCACAGTAAAGTCTTAGTAATAATACAGCAAAAAACTGATTTGAAAATCTTCATGGTAATAAATGTTTTTTTGTGATAATGTAATGTGTGATTCTAACTTCACCTGGAAAAAAGTGTCGTCAAGATTCTAAACCTCTTTATTTCACTAGATATGTTGCTAATACTTGTGATTTATGGAAGTTCTGATTATGTAAAAATAATTCTAACATGCTTGAATGT